TCCGATACGAGGATATGCCCGGCAGACTTGAAAATATTTTTTGGGCTACTGCGGTGGCTATATATAATATAATATATAATGCCGCCGAGGAGAGCGGCAGCTCACCCGCAAAACGTCAAACGTCACTCAATATATGCGCTCTCTCTCTCGCGCGCGCGCGCACCAGAATGAGAGAGAGAAAGAGAATAATTACACTTATAAAAGCTGTTTTTATGGCCTTCGGGGAATATTGAGCGGGCGCGCGTCGATGGCCGTCGACGATGATGATGATGGTGATGCTCCCACATTTTTCTATGATCGATTTAACTTCGCACACACAGACACGCGTTTGCTCCTGCCGTGATGTTCGTGCATGGGCACGAACTTCAACTCGGGGGCTTAATTATTATTCGTAAACAGTATAACGATATACACGTATGAGATTTTTTTCGTCCGCCGTCGAGAAAAATTTCTATCCTCGGCGAGTAGCGCGCGGACACACAATTGCTCCCGAAAATTAATGAATGGCTTCTTGTATTTACTCGTCCTGCTGGTACATATATATAAGGAACGAAATATCTATAATTTCAAATACACAATATGTATCGTACGCGAACGAAATTCCACTCGCGCGCAAATTCATTACTCTGCTATTATTTTTCGAGAGATATTTTGTAATATTACCATATAAGCCGCATGCGCGCTGCCGTTTAAAAACGATATCTACTTATTATCCTTTATTTTTCCGTTTACTGCATAAATACCAGTGAAGTGGAATAATAACAATATTACGCGTAGAAAAAAAATGAGCGACTACTTGGCTCGATGGGGATATATACCTCGACTTTTACTTTCAAGCTCGTCTGCTCACGCGCGTAAATACGTATATAATGTGAATTTCGAGAGTCGTCAAGAGAGTCATTTTTATGAACTCTAAGCTGCTGCTCGTGCAAAGCCATTGTAGTACCGCGTGCGCTATCCCAGAACGGCGAAACACGAAATTGATGGAGATTTTCATTTTTCAGCGTCTATTTTTTGATATTAAAAAAGGCCTCGAACAATCGAAATCGAGAATGAAAAGGGAACTTCCGTTTTCGATACATTATGCGCGTTTTATATAACACTTGTAAGTCGAGGCGAATGATTCCCGATGATAATGAAAGTCAATGTATTTTTATTTTTTTTTTCATTTGTTATAGCAGAGAACGCCGCAAGGTATTTTTTTTTTAATATAAAAGAATCGAAGCACACTTCATGGAAAAAAAGACGATGAAGAGCGAATGAGAGAGAGAAATAGAGAGGCCAAGAAGAAGGTGCCGATCGAGCATCTGCTCCGTGTGTGCTGCCTCTTCACTATTTTGCACGGGGCGATCGAGCGCGCGGGCGCAAAACAATATATCGAAGGAAGGAAATGCGCGACAATGAGAGCGAGTGGACACACTGAAGCGATCGTAAAACGGCATGGGTATATAGATGTATCGTTTATATATAGCGTTGAGTTTCTAAGAAAGCCAAAAAGACGATGAAGTACGCGCGGAAGGTTCGTCGGGTACGTATTATATACACATCTTGTCGGATTAACGCAGACGACGATGCGAAAACACGCCGCAGCATGGCTACAGAAGAAGAAGAAGATTACTTTGCTGGAGTGAGAGAAAAGAAAGAAATTGCGAATCGCGCAAGTGTAATCTACTGATGAGAGGATTTGTCGTACTGTTCGTGTGTATGTGTACCTATAATACGCCGCAGCTATACACACGACTTACGAGGGTGGCGCGCAAACAATCGAAGAAATAAACGAGTTTTATTTCAATTGTGTATCTCTGCTTGACGAGCTCCGAAAAAAAATTTAATTGTACCCGAACCGAATGTGGCATCGATCAGATTTTTTTTCCGCGAATACACGCGGACGAATTAAAGCGCCGCAGCAGCAGCAGCACGCATACGTAGTGCTCCAATTAATTGGCGGCACTTATAGACTGACCGTGCGTGACGTATAAAAAGTGTGTGTTTATACTTTGCCTACTCTGACGCCACGTTATAATAATAATTATAATATTATAAATTATATACGTACGTGTGTGTATAAGTGAGCAGCAGCCTCCGGTCGCGATTGCCAAGGAGATTTTTTTTTTTCATTTTTTCGTACGATCTCGCATGGATAAATGATTAATTCCGCTTCTACGTGTGTATAATGTAAGTATAAGCAAATGTGTATACGCAAAGAGTACAGAAAAAACAGCAGCGGTGAAATAATGCATGTACGTGCTTATAGCACAAAATATTACAAGGCGCGCATGTACATTGCTTGAGAAAAATCGTTCAGCTCGACGCTTGGCTTTTTTAACGCAAAAAGCACACCGCTGCCGCCCGCGTACTACTGTACATATTACGTTTCTCGGGGTCTAGACCATACATCGTAACGTGTATTTATAATCCTTGTGTGTGTATCGACGAGCTAAGAATTTAATCGCGGAAACGCATAAAATGCAGCGCAGCAGCCGCACTCGCGTATAATACAAAGTGTGCAATGCATAAATGCAAGAAAAAGTTTGCCACGGCGCGCTAGCCTGCATTAATTACGTTGCTGCTGTTTTTTTGGTGAAATAAACAATTTAACTATCACGGCGAATAACGATTGCATGTATACGTATAAAAATGCGTGTACACTGCGGGGACGGCGGGGTATGTTTCGTGTGTATGTAAGCCGAGCGATTGCGTGACAACGAAATATGCCACCTTGCCGTGCGTTGATTTCGCAGACACTGACGCCGCGCCGCGCTCGATCTGCAGGCCTCGTGCACTTACATATAATACGCACAAGCTGTAATATACTTACAATCGTGCAAATTTGTAAGAAAAAATTCAAAGCCAAATTTTGTGTATAAAATAAATGTAATGATTTGCCTGCACGAAACTTGCGCCGTGTAATCTCTCTCTCGAATTTGTATGGAGCAATCAAAAATAATGAAAACTACTTCCGTCGTGCCTGTGTGTGTGTGTGTATAATATACTCGAGTATGTGTGCAACTTTATACGTATGTGTCTGTGTGCGAGTACACCAAAGCAATCTCAGGTTCCACTTAGTCATTCTCGCACCTCGTGGCCGCGCGCGCGTGCAATTCGCCTACAGCGCGTGTGCAGTCCAAGCAAAAGAGAGCTGCACATCGAACTCGCGCCGTCTTATGTATTACCGTTGGCTAATGACATAATCAAATTATCCTTTCGATTCATCTCTCTCTTCTGCGTTTTAGTTTCGGTATATAAGCGAGATGAACAAAAAAAAACAAGAAGAAAAAAGAAATGAGGCATCGCAACGACTCTCGGGTATCTCATCGCACATAATATGAAGAGTAGAAGAAAGAAAGATTTGCATATTAAACGGCTTAAGATTTATAACCTATATAACCAGTCGTGAAACGAGGCGCATCATAAACGATAAATATAAATGCAACACTTGTTATTTTTTTCCTATTGCGATATATACCTTCTGCCCTCGCACTCGCACGCCGATGCTATTATACGACTCGATCTTGTTTTTGTTATAACCCGCCACCCCACATATGCCTATAGATCGCTTAATGGCATGCATATAAACTCGCGCGCCCCGAGAGCGAGTGCCGAGATATAACTATTCAGCTCGAGCTCGATATCGATCGAATTTCTTCTTCTGCGCCGAGGTATGCCGAAATCATCATCATCATCATCATCAGCATCGCTGCGCGCGTAACGATGCACGCATTATATTATGCGCTGCGATATATAATTGAATCGAGGATGTGAAGAAAAAAAAATCGATCGAGGAACGAAATGAAAGATAAATCAAAGACACGTGGTACATCGAGCAGCACCTCGAGATTCATAATACAAAAATTCCAGTTGGAACGTTTAATAGATTATCGTCGCGTCTATGTACTCACGAAGCAAGGCCGGCTGATCGGGAAAAATTATTATTTTAATTTAACTTTTATTTTCATGCGCTACTTGATACGCTCTGCTATATTTTATATACAAATATCAAAAGGAAGAGTGTCAGACAGATACGCGTGAGAGAATGAGATTCATTGTTTACACAAGAAAAAGCCTCCTATACGTATATGATGTACCATTTCAAATAATATAAGAGATTCGGTGGGGTCCCAATTTCATTTCATCTTCGAAACATGTGACTTTTCATACACTTCTGATCGTCCCGCCGATCTGATGTTCCGCGATCAAGAATAGATTTTGTCGATATTTACTTTAAAACGTCGTGTAAGTTGCGCGATACACATGGACGCCAAGTAAACCTGCGTGCACGTACTCGAATTGTATAATATGTATTGTAAAAGCTCTAGAAATAAATTCATATAGGCGAATCGCCGATGAAAAACATAAAGATATGGAAATAATGTGTCTAGAATTTGCATGAGCACGTGTACACCCGCATATATAGATGTATAAAGTAAGTATTAAAATAAAAAAAAAGAAGGAGTACATTTGCAAACGCGTGAGAAAGAGCAGCACGATAAGAAAGCGCGCAATGCAAGCGCGCGCTTACAACAACAGCAACAACGAAAAAAATAAAAGAAAGAAAGAAAGAAAAGGAAAAAAAAACAAATAAGGCACTATAGATCGTATATAAGGGAAACTTATTTCCGCCGGCATGTGGTGCATGCGCGCGCGCGCGCGTCGAGTAGTGCTACGTGCTGTATGCGCGCATGTTAATTCGCGACTCGCAGCAACTCCCGGCAACACACATAGAGGTTAATGTCTCGAGACGAGCATCGGTCGTAATTGAGGAATAATTACAAGCTGATGCGCTTTGTAAAAGCTCGTCCTCGTCCCGTCTCTCTCTCGTCGTACTTTTGAAACGACTTTCGTGTTTTAGATCGAGTACGTATACGCAGAGAGAGAGAGAACATTTTGCATTAAATGAAATGCTAGGATATAGACGCGTGTTTGTTCGTTTGTTTGTGTGTGTACATAAAGAAAGAAGACAGACGTCAAGACTTTGACGCCGAACAAAAGTAACCACTTACCTCGTTCTTGCATAAATTTGAACAAATTGTCGAGGAATATCTTGCGCTCCGGATCATTGCTCAGTGTGTACAGCTGCAACAAAAACGAAAGCAACGCGAGAAACGATATTAATACATCTTTATAATGTGCTCGATATTAATATGGAATAATAAAAATGTGATATTATATTTATGCAAGTCATATTCGTATCCCACACCAAAACACTGTATGGCAAAGTCCACACACACACAACATAACATTCAGCTCGGACGGAGCAGAAACGGACTCGCGCGCATATGTATAGGTACGCAACCAAGACGCTCGTAGCGACAGGCGAGATTGCTCATACAGGGTCGATTATTAATGATACCGTTTAACCCGAGAAAGAGTTAATGCATTTATATATACGCGCGTGTGCGTGTGCGCGCATACATGCCCACACTGCACTGCGGGCCTCGCGGCCTTCTTATATTATTCCCCTAATAAAAGCCGATACGTCGTATTTGTTACACGCGCGCGCGCGCGAATAATATAGCGTTTATATTATTTGTAAGTGTAGGTGCGACTAAGCGCCTGTCATCGTGTGTAACAGAGATTTTTCCACATACGTACATTAAACACTCACACGCGTACACCACCTCCGTCGACAGCAGAAATTATTCCAGGAAATTTCGGGGATGAAAAAATTCAAATTTTAAAATCTATAAAACGCCAAATAACAATGAGGTGCGAGAGAGAAAGATAGATGAAAAAAAAAAAGTTCAGGGCGACAGAACGGCGCCACGGAAGCGTGCCTCAAAGGACATGCGATTTCTATTCGAATCTGCGCCCTGTAAATGTGTATATATTGCGATTTCAATAATATATATAATATACACCTTCTTCATTGATGCAGGATTAACAGCACATGGACAGAGCAAGCTTATCCTCTCGCAGCAGCCCTTGTGTATTGCTGCTGCTGTTCGGGACTTCGATATACGTATTTACGCGCGCATAAAGAGAGCAGTGCGAAAGTACCGTTACAAGTGGCATATACACAAGATATTATTACACACATACAGACAATCATCAAGGAGCGCGATTGATTTAGTCGCCGCTTGTATTCATACCACTAGTACTATTCAATACCAACTGGACATCCATTCTAGATTGGCCGCAGTATAACGTTTTTCACGAGAGCTGCTGACTGAAGCAGTCGGGCAATTATCGTTGCGACTAATCGAATTCTCGAGACGAATCTTTGTTCGCTACACACATCCTCTACACTTTGTCATCGGCACCAAAAAAAAGCGAGCGAAAAACGAAAGAGTGTGCGGGTGAGCTGCTTATTGTTTTTATATAATGCGCAAGAGCTCGAGCGGGTGGAAAATAGAAGATTGGATTTTTTTTCCTCCCCGCAACGTACTGCAGCTCGTGTCCACCTCTTTTACCATTATTACGATCCTGTGCGTCTTCTGTCGAAGGAAAATAAAGAGATTCGAGGGCAGAAAAGTATTATAGCAAAAGGCTATGCCACGGATATTTATAAAATATATTTAAGCGGAAAAGACTGTGAGCGCGTCGAGATAACACCACCGCTGCCGCTGCACATGAGGCACTTATCTAAGAACCAAATCGTATTCGCGAGTCATTATGCAAAATATAAGCTGTTCGAGGTGTGCAAGCTTAATCATTGTTACCGCGAGTGTGCAAGCTAGCTTATCGCCCCGCGTTGGTGTGTGTGTGTGTGTTGCTGTGTGTGTATATATGCGCGAGCTATGAACAATTCTAAGGAGTTTGGTGCCCGCGCGTATAATTATTATATATAGACTCTCGAGCGCGCGCAGAGAGGCGCTCGTAAAAGAAAATATGAAATTTGCATGCGCGCGCGATGCATAATACGAGATTCTTTTTTTTCAACTCCGCGTGCGCGCTGTGTGCTTGCTGCTGCTGCTGTTGTTGTTGTTTCGTTTTTTTTATTTGCTGTTGTGTACGTGTGTGTGTACGTGTGCTCCAGTTTATTACACTAAAGGGATGCATAATATATTACAATATCGGATGTGTTTTTTTTCGCACAATCGTAAACGTACGGCTGAAACGGCCTGAAAGTTTTTCGTTTTTAATTATATACACCCGTAGTATAGGTAGAGAATCTCGACTCGCTAGTTTTATCTCCCGGATCGGAGTGAAATTAGACGAGTACGTATAAATATAATGCATAGGTGTGAATATCTGTGCGGCAGATTTTATCCATCTCTTTGATTCCTGTTGGAATAACAGGGCCCCAGCGCGGATATCGACAGAAATTTACACCTCGATGATAAAGTCGCTCGAGACTCAAAAGCGTACCGATATTTATATATCGGAAGTAAAAAAAAAAAAAAAGAGAAATTGAATTCCTGCACCGACGTACACCTGTACAGTACGGGTCGGGTAGATGTCAATTAGTGTAAGCGATGGAAGGTCGTTAAATAATGAGCAAATATCGGAAGTGTATAAAGAGTCGAGGTCTCGCGCAAATGTGTATATAAAAACGGATGAAAAAAATATATATACACGAAACCCGAGCAAAGAAGGAGGACAAAAAGGGAAATATCGTGTGTATCGGACGCAGAGCGCCTTTGCCTTTTGGTAAAAGCCGCTCTCAAGAGGTGTGATTTAATATTTCCAGCTAAGAACGTAAAATCCCGGCCGTACTCTGCGTTGCAACGGCGGCGGCAACAGCAGTAGTCCACCGCACATGCCCTTTAGGGCTCGATGCGCGCCCAGCTAACGCAGCGCACAGCTACGGCAACAAAAAAAAAGAGAGAGAGAAGTTCGCGAAATAATATATAAGTGAATTTTATGCGAATGATTATGTCGATGCGGCTGTCGGACTCAGTTTGTTTTCGCAGCCATAATAATATTTTATATATGCACGAGGATCGGGGCGATTTTATGGATTTCGCGCGAATCAAGACTATTAAAAAGATTCGATAGAAAAAGTAACGATACAACGGGCGGATACATTTTACATAAAATCGAATCAAATTTTGACTTTTATACGCTATGCCGATTGACGAAATTATTTAGCTAATCCTACACGTACACACACGCACAAAAAAAACTATTAACATTTCCAAATCTCAACTTGTATCGGAGGTAAAATTGCTCAATTATTAACGCGCCAGCGAAAAATGTCGCGTGCATTATTAAAATGTATATCATTGAATCGCGCAATTCGTTTAATAGTTGCAATATATCATTACGTGACTCGCACCATATCCTACACAGCTTGAGAAATTAAAAGAAAAAAATTAAATCTAGGTCTCTATTCTGGAACTTTACGTCACAGGAAAATTGATAAAAGCGGCGAGATAATGAATTCAAACAATAATCCGGATTGAACTCGTTTTTTTTATAGAAATGCAGGCAACGGTATGCGTGGGTAAACACGACTTATCACTTAATTGTCAAGTATCAAAGAAATTTTATAAGATAACATTAGCATAATGTATGTACCCCGTCAGCACTAGGATGATTTGGATCTGTGTGCTTCTTTTTCGATTTTTCATTGACAGTTAGCATTGTATCTTCGTCTTCCATATCTGTTTTCTCTCTGCTCAAGTTCATCATGGAGTTGTAATAATATTCGTTCGAAACTCCCATTTTATAAAATATATAGCCTAGATTTAACTAGAGTAATTTTTATTACTAAGTTCTTTTTAAGATCGTTCGTGAACACACAAACACTTTCAACACTGAACACGTACTAAAACTATTGCGAAAACTGTTAAAACTTATTTTGACAGCGCCACCGAAATAACATGTACTATTGTACACCGCAGCACTGTACGAGTTTTGAACACTTCGAGATCCGATGATCGACTAGTTCAGCAGCGAAAAAATACATGCTATTTGACCGAGACGATCCTCTAAACTGTCAGACCCTACTTTCTCCAACTTATCTCCTACTTATTCCCTTTCCCCCTACCATCTATAAATTTGATCTCCCACTCCTCCTCCGAGTTATTTGGATGGCGTTTCTCTAAGATCACTTTTAGGATCGTCTACTACTCAGTATTTGGTAACCTAAGTTCAATGTTTTTTGAGAAAGATAAAAATGTAATGAATGAAAATATCAACAAAAATCGTATGATCATCATAATACATCATCTATTTTAATCGAAGGCTTATCTTAAAAATAATTTCGAAGAAATCAAATAACGATAAAAAAAACCTCTACGGGTTAATTATATTCTTTTGCAGAAACTTTACGAACAATGATTTGGGTAATAATTGTTATCTCGGCGCGAACGGGACGATGAATGACGATGTGGAGTTGATGACACACGTGCAAAAAAAACTACAAAAGAAAAATATAAGCCCGAACAATGGGAGAAAGAAAGGGGTAAAAGAAAGAAGACAAGCTGCTTTGCGCCGCTGCAGCCGTGCTCAGTGATAAATGAAAGAGTATTTAGCACTCTTGGATTAGCATATAAACTATACACCCGCTGCGCTGCTGCTCGCGCTCCGCAACCATAGATTTTGAGAACGAGAAAAAGAGAGAAGGAAAATTAATGATTGACCGGACGTTTTCGGTTCTCGAAAGAAACACCGATACCGAGATATTAGAAAAAATTAAATTGTACGATCGCACGTAATAAAATTAATATTAAAAAGCAAATTTAATGATTTAAGAACGCATTTGATTCGGCTCATTAATTACTCACATACGAATGTGATTAATTTTTACTTTTCTAAGAGTTTTTATCGAAATTTGAAAATTTCTCTCGATCATTAAAGTATAGCCGTTTTAATTACTTCTTGATCAATTGTTCTAAAAATCGCAATTAAAGTGCAAGCAAGCCTTTCGACATACTGTGAAAAACTTTTTGGAAAACTTCGAGGACAAAACTATCTTAATGACGATTTCGATAAAAAACACTAATGTAACTCGATTAAAGATTAGACCTTTAATTAAATTCAAATTAAAACGCAGACAATTCGCATAATCACGCGTGATATCTGTGGAGATTAATCGATTCGACTCTGGTTTCAAGTTTCACCTTCTGAATCTTTTTCCTCGAGCGCATTATCATCTCTGCAACGGTCATTAACGTTGATGCGTTGCA